TTGTGTGGCAGTGGCAAGGGGCTCAGTCCTTGAACACGGTTTCGACTATGTTGACCATGCCGTGATTATTGATTGACTGATTGGCTGAGAGGTCTCTGGACTCGTGACCTCATTCGCTCCCCAATGTGCGATTAGCAACACGGCCGCACGTTCCAGAATGGTCGAGCGCGTATAGCGTAAGTTGGCTTAGTCATGCTAGCCTTGTGGTGGTGCCCATAGTTCACTTCAAGCTAATCGAACAATTCCCGTACGTTCTACCCCAAGAAAAGAAGTTAAATCGCATTGTCCCATATTGCGCGAAATTGTTTTACTGTTGGCATAACCTAAGTTATTTATTCTCCCAAACTAATTATCCAACGTGAGACGAAAATTAAATAATATTATTAAAAATCATTCGGAACCATAAAATGCATATTTTTATAAGTGTATTGAAATATATTATGTATGCATTTGAAAAAACTGTGTTTTCTGGCACATTAGACCCACTGGAATTTATTGATTCCCGAATCTCGTAACGCGTGAAAGTCGCATTTGGAGCCACTTGCGAGGGACATGCTTCCACGAGGGAGTTATAGCAGGAAGTCTGCGAGTCGCCATTATAGGGACAGTGAGCAAGAAGGGGAAAATCATGCAGGTTCAAGTACTAGACGCGAATTTCTCCAGACAAATTGCCAGACACAAAGAATTGTCGACACGGCTGGGAAGAACTCAGCCAGATATCATAGCAGTATAGCCAAGCAAAGAAGACCAAATCTGAGACAAGAAAATAATCTAAATCGAACAAAAACCGAATTCCAATCAGAGGATGGTAAGATAGGATTTAAGGCAAGTTTCATGCCCATTTAAAATAGATTTTTCTTCGTCTTTTGAGAAGATGGTTAATGATCAGCTGGGTCGTGAGGAAAATTTGAACAAAGATGAAAAGCCGAATGAAAATATCTTCAATTTAGAAGAAATTGGACATGAATCAAATATTTTGGATGATGTGAAAATGGTAAAGGACAGTAAATCCAAGGGTAGGTAGAATATCATCTCAACTCAAACTACTAAAGCTCTTAATGATAATATCTCTTCTGGGTTAAAAGGAAAAGGCCGGGAGGTGTCCCCAAACAAGGTAAAAAATTGGAAAGACCTAAGCGTCAGAAATAAATCCAAAATCTTTCCGTCTTCAATTAACTCAACAAAGCCTGATCAAAAAAGTAATCCAAAGAAAACCCCTGTTCACAATAATAAATCATCCGAAAAGAACTCAGAACAAGTTCTGGAAATAAAGTTTGACGGTACTTCGGAGTTTGTGGAGTTACCATACAGCAAGAGACGAGTTCCTATGATTTTTAAGAGGATGGTTCATGTGAAGCACCTGCCAGTGGATCCCATGCTCAAATATAATAAGCAGAAGTACCAGTTCTCTCTAGGATTCAAGATCACAGAAATAGCCGATAGCCAGAAAACGAACAGTGATAATGAACTCGATAAGCAGCATAGACTATGGTGTCAGATAGAAGCCCTGACAGGAGTGTTTGGAATGAAATTTCCAAAATTAATTATAGAAAATACCTTATTCCCAATTGTAACACGTGAAGATTTGAAAAGGATGAAGGAAGAGGCATATGAGTGGTGCGGAGATGGAGAAATCGTCCATGATCCAAATGAACGCCTTTGGAACTGGGAGAGGTCTATGGTTAATAGTAATCGCCTGCTAGGTAAGGATGGCAAGCCTACATTCAATCCAGACTTGGACATTCGATACATGTCTCATTCGCCTGATTTCGAACCGGATTCCTTTGGTCCTGTTGAGTATGACGAGCAGCTTAGAAAGCTTTTCATTGATTCTTCTTCCCAAGTCTCAGATACTTCCGATGACTCGTCTATATCGGCTTTGGATTATGATGAGGAAAATTTCCTCCATTCTAATTTTTGCCATCCTCTTAATAATAATCGATTTAATCAGTATCGATTGAAGAGGTTGTTGAATAAAGAAGGAACCCTTTTAAATGCAAATAGAATATCACAGACTGATTCTCAGCTATTGGATTTGATGTATCGAGACAGTGAGTATTACTTTACCTAGATATTACTTATTCAACTCACTTTGATATCACGAATGTTTGATTTGGTTGGTTCTTTGGGTAAATTGTAGCCTTCACATCTTGACCGAAATTTTGGCCATCAGAGGGTCAGATTTATCGATTTTCAATATTATTTGCTATTTGCATATAGTTTCCATGATTTCGCTCAAGTTTTTTTCCTTGCGTGTTTAAATTTGGTAGCAAGCGTGGGTGAAAGTTTAAAAGTGAAGTAGAATGTTTCCCTTGAGGTTAAGTAGATTGGAATAGCATTAGGACTAACCGGACGCATATGATCCGCTGCATATCATTCACTTTAATTGGAAAGGCAACAATTTTTAAGTTACTTGTACTATGAACGTTTTTTTATAATGACATTTTAGTACTGAGCAAGAAACCGAAATGCAAAAATGGCCCCAAAAAACTAAAGAAGTCTTCCTCCTCAGACAAAAACGAGAGCGACTCAGACAGCAAAACATCTTCTCTTTCAAATTCGTCTCTATCCATGGTTGAGGATGCGATGAATAGTGCCGTAGAGATCAATCCCAGCAATTCCTATTTCACTGTCGAGCCCTATACGAAGAACGTGAAATCTCAGAAGAAATCCCGTGTCTTCAGACGCAGTTCTTCCACAATAGAAAGAGAAGAAGAGAAGTGGAGGTACTATTGGAGAAAATCTCTTCGTGGTGGCTCCTCAGTGGAAGAGTCGCGACGAATTTATCGAGAAATACTCCAAGAACTGGAGGATGAACTTGAGGAAGTGGAAGAGGGTGAAGAATTCCATAGTTCAGATCAGCCTATTCATAGGTCTTCGTCCATTGACGCCCTTTCTGAAGCGAAACGCGTGAGGAAGAAAACTAAGGATATAAGAACTCGATTTGTTAAAAGTTGGATGAATGAAGTCGATCAAATCGTTTATCATTTGCAAAAAGATATATGTGAGTCAAAACGCATAGACATGCATCGTGTATTCACGAAGGTGGCCAGCATAAAAGGTGACATAGAACAAAGTAGGATAAGGAAAGCGTTTCTTGTCGAGTTTTCTGCCATTTGAAGAAGTTTCGTATTAGTGATTTACATCCCAAGTTGTAAGACCGCTTTGTGAAGAGTCATTTGCCCAAATTTTGGTATAGCAACTCAAACTGTCTTGCACCAGTGGCTTCTCAGTCAACAGATTCAGACTTGGCTGAATCTCTCTACTAAGCTTCTAACCATTCATGTTCTAAACTCCTGAGAAGTACTTATAAAATCATCCTTCTATCCAAAGCTCTAATCATTCACTTATTATAAGCTTTTTCTCGAAAAATGTTAATTAAAAAATCCTATATAGAATTATCCGTAGAAAGGTTTTATGATTAGCAGGGATGATAAGTGCACCAAGAAGCGGTAAAGGGGACCTGAGTCAGACAACTTGCCACAGTGACAACTGGTCAAACTAACACCTCACTAACAGGCAATGCAAATGGAAAAATGAATGCACAGTTGTACTTTTCGGGTGAATGACTTTGCTCAGGTGGTCTGTTGAGTGATGATAGTAGGATATCTACAGTCAATTAGTAAGACGCCAAATTGGCATTATGACACCTGTGTGCGCTGAGTAAAATCTCTTATGGCGGAAAGTGTCAAGGTCAGTCAAATTTGTGAAAACGAATTGTCTCGTTTTCTTCATTCATTTCCATTGCTTTTTGTTCTTAAACATTAACATTGACAACCCGAAGCGACAAGATATCAACATTCAAAAATAGTTATCTCTCCGAATTTGATCGTACTTATTCGAAAACTATCGAAAAATCATTAGTGGTTCTAATCGACAAATGATTAGAATGAAACAATGAACTTATGTAAACTGGAATGAAACCATGGTGCACTCCTAGATATTGACGCTACCAATCACATAGAATGATAAAAAATATGTAATATTCCAAATTATTATTTAAAATCCACATCAAGTGACTACTTAATTCATTATACCGCATTTTCTTCCCTTTAGACGATGATTCTTTTCGGAGGAAGGTGGATAAAAGCATTCAGACCAGAGCGCCAACTCCGTACTGGGTAAGAGTAGGGAAGCCACGGAAATCGCCTCCCGAGGAATCACAAATAGACATTGGAACGAACTCCGATGAATCAGCTGAACTTGTATCGCAAACAGAGAAGACGGCAGGCGAGCTGACTAAATTATCTTCGGAACTCTCTAACCAAGAAGACGAAAGTTGTCTGAATGAAGTTGAGGGAAGTATTTCAAGTTCAGCACAACAAGTGGAAGGAGAAGAAAAGGACGAAAACTCACAGGAAGAAAGCGAGGAAAGCCGTTTAAGCGAATCGCATAAGTTGGAAGATGAGGATTGGAGTTTGCAAGTTTACATTGAAGGCAAAACAGCGGCTCAATCCCATTTGAAAGATAGAACTGTGGAGGAACAAGGCAATCTTCCACACCAAGAAACGGATTCGATTTTGCAAGACCAAGGCATTGACTTCGCTCTCGATCTATCAGAACTTTCAGAGGAGGAGGACATGGAAGAGATGGTCTCAGAGGATTCACAGCTTTCAGAAGAGGACGACTATGAGAGCTCCAACTATGAATTTGACCAAATTAATCCAACAGATAAATCACTTTCTCTTTCAACCGAAGACACAAAAATCTCCTTCCTCTGGACTAGCACAAGATTAATTCCCGCAAAATTTTCACGCACAGAAGATATGCCATCAATAGAGAAGGCACGACCTGAGCCAACCGATTCGATACCTTTTAGAATTTCGAAAGAGGAAGAGAATGTCAGGGATAAAACTGACACTATTACTCGAAACGTATCAGGGCGTTCGAAAAAAAGGAAAATGCCGAAATCGTTGCAAGAGTCGTCCGAACTGTTGTCAACACAATATCCATTTACCTCTGTAAGAACACTGACTTCAATGGAGAAAATATTGAAAGATGCTGATGAAGAGTCCCCGGATAAACCAAGAGCCAAATTTCATTTTGCACCGAATGTGGTAATTGAGTCGGCCAAGTCAAGACCAAAGAGAAGAAATCGATATCGCAGTAAATAACTCTTCACTATTGTATACTATTTACCCGTTCACCACGTTACATCAGTACTCGAGATAGAGTGTATATGGCTGAATAGAGAAGTCGATCCGAGGAACATTTTGAGTTCCAATGGACCCTCTAATAGCCAGACTTATCCCGTGGACGCAGACATTCCATTCACTTGTTTATGTTGATAGGCACCGAGATCATGGTCTCTCTCTCTCTCTCTGACATTATAGACGTGTTTCATCGACATTTTCTGTTATATTGTCTGACTTCACAAACTGTGGCGTGCACCCTGCCATTTTTGAGATGCTGTTACAGGAAATAAGGACATGATGCGAATTTAAAATTGACTTTCGCACTGATAGTATAGATCAGCATACCTTTAATAATAGTAATTGTCGTAGGTTTGCTTCATGATGCTATATCCCAGGCAATTTTACCTCACCCGGATTCAATCGAGTTAAGTAAATTTATTCCACATTTTCCTGTCATTTCAGAGCCAATGCGTCTATTGCAAATCAAGATAGCTGAAGGCGAAGAGCATAAGAGGTCGAAGCCAAAAGTCGATAAAGGTGTTCAAACTTTGAAGTATATTCCAATATGGAAGAGGTCGCCACCAAATTTACCGAAGGCACTCGAATATGAACCCCCGCTCAAAGAAGCGAGGAAGATAACTAGGCCAACTGAATTAACTTCCATGATGATAAATGAGGACGATAGACTCATTGAAAGCATCTTCGGCTTACCTCCAATTTCAAAAATTGAGAAGGCTAATGACCTGGGGAAGCAGCAAAAGAAGGAAGCGATTGAAGTTCATGATGGAAAATTTAGAAAAAGGCTGGAAGAACGTGATAAGAATGCTCGTGATGACTCCAATCTTCCTTTGAAAGCAGGGAACGATCCTGTTGATTCTAAGCAAGCGGAGAAGACTGAAACAATCGATAGAACCGAGTTAGGCAAAATTGTCTTAGATCGACTGAATAAAAAGTATCCATCAGCAACACTAAATTGGAGAAAATACCGTTCCCCAGCTACTCCTCGTTTAAATAAGCCTTCTGAATCACCGTCTCCACTTAGACAACCAAAAATGTATCAAGAAATGGTTTCATTTTTCGAAAATATGACTCGTTGGGAGAAAATATTATTCGACTTCTCGTACAAGGGTTGGGAGCATGCCGGCTATGACTGGGATAAAGTGAGTAGTAGAAATTCCTCATTTCTCTTGGTTTTATTCAAAATTAAAATTTCGGAAGCCTTTGTATTTATTCAAAACCAATGAAGCCATATTTTTTATTGTCAGTATATGCTTACCGGATTTTTTAAGGTGGCAAACATTTTTTTCTCTGTTTTGATGCTCCTAGCTAAACCCCATTTCTTCTACCTCTTTTTTTAATAAAAAATCGATAATTGTTGTAAGAGGCTAACTTCAGACAAAGCAGGTACTAAGAAATTTTGATTTGTGGGCAAATTACCCATGAACTACATACACTAACAGTAGCCAGGCTGTCACTCAATGGGATTTTTCGTACTTCTAGAACTGAGATAATTATGGTAACATTTACCAGGTATTTTACTCATGCGTACTTGATCAATTTTGTGACCTTGACATGAAAAACCAACTCCCCTCCCCCCCCCCCCAAGCTATAATATTGACAAGATCAGATAATTATTCTTATCAAATGGTAGGCTTTACGATAGTTTTATTGACCCCTTAGTTGACTTCGGGCTTCACAGAGGAGAAGAGCATCAAATTCAAATGAAGTTGAGGGGGGGAACAGGGTAAAAGAGACAGACAGACATAAAGGCAGAGAAAAAAAAGGTAAAGAGAGGTGAGTACTGTGGAAGTGGTGGAATATGACATACAGTGGGGTCATGGCAGTTTGAAGTGAGAAGTCAACTGCCAGTTTATGGACTTTTATACCGTATGAGTATACACTGCCCAGAGTACACCACGTGGAGGTAAGTCTATCGCCCATCCCACTATTTCTAATGCAATGTACTCACTATATAATCTCACATCCCCTATTATCACTTTTAATTAGATAAAAGAAGTGGTATTTGATCCTGATGGTCAGTACTGGGCCGATATGTACGATAACATACGAGAGGATGAGTACTTCGCCCAATACGAAAAACAGCATGTTATTAAGGATTTCATGCCCAAGGCCGGAGATCGAGGAAAATTCGGTCTTGGAAGACGATGTGCTAGTCTTGTAAATGGAACAGTGAGCCTCTACTCGGGCCTCTTTAGAGCTGACCCCAAAATGACAAGCATAGAAATGGTCTTAGATGCCATGTATAAAGATCGTCTATTTGGCTTGCCTCTTTCCTTACAAGATGCAGATGAGATGCGACACTATTACACTAATATAATCGTAAAAGACCCGAAGCTTTATAGATCAATAATGAAGAACCGAGATTGTCTTCAACACGACCTTTTAGTAATGGTACACAATGTGCTTAAAGGTCTAAACATAACTGATAACGCACTTGCAGACAGGTATCCATGTAGGCAACAGACTCGGATGATTCAACTTGAGGCAAACAAGAAGTACGCCAGCATTATTTCACCAGAAGAAGGTAGAAAAAGAGGTGACAAGTCACGCTTAAATTCGTTCATCAAAATCGGCGAGAAGCGACCGCATGAAATTTACTTTGAGAAGCATTTTAATGACGCGACATCCGACTTTAGATACCCACCAGCAGAACAGCTCATAATTGATGCAGCTATGGCAGTAGATATGGACAAAGAAGCAAGAATCAAAGTTTACAATCCTGCAATGAACATTATTGAAGATGCTAGATTCCTTAAAAAAGACTTTGCATTGTACGCTTACCCATTATTTGAAACCAATTGGAGAGATATTGGCTACGATAGGGATTATGAAATAATTCTTCCAGAGTTGAGAGAGCTTCGAGATTTGCGACAACTTCGTCTGGATAAGATGAAGGCTCACAAGACTTTCACTAGAGAGGAGAACGATGACTACGCACAGAAGTCTAGGATGCTATGCAAGGATCTAGTTGACCGCGTCTGTAGAATGCTCAAATCGTCTAAAGAGAGAGGTCAGCACAATGGCGTTTGGAAGTGCCTATTGGCCTGCATCCATGGAATTACATTTTGGCGAGAAATTGAGGACCGTCTTGTGGACAATTTTAAAGAATGGATGCCAATGTTGTTGGTCGGTCTGCTAATTGACAACAAGCTGGTTCGACAGGAAGTTTGCTTTGTTATAGCTCTCCTCGTTTCCAATTATCGTTTTATATCAAAATTGCATAAAGAAAGCAAGAATCGGCTGATTTCCAACTTGACTTTTGCTCTACTTGATGCCATCGAAGAACATCCGGAGTCGTATGTCTTTTATCACGGCGTATTGGCGTACCTTCTGCATTCGGTGCCTTGTAATGCAACTCTTCTGGCTATTTTAACCTGGGTTCCAGAGATTATGGATCGTGGTGATGAGGGTGCTTTGGCCAAAGATTGGCCGCTTTTCATCTACTACGTGGCAAAACACTGGCCCCAAAGTGCCATTAGATGGAGATACAACCACGAGGAAAAAATTTTGGAATTGCTGGAACGTGCACTATTGCGTCCAATATCCAAACGCAATGCCCAGTTAGCCCTTAAATACGTATGCCGAAGAGAGGAATGCGTTCCAAAGTTATTCACTGTGTGGAGGGGACGAAGAATTGGAGAACATGTGAGAGTAATCGACAGACAGGTTTTTGACGGTACTAAAACATATGATATATAGGCAAAAATTAAAAATGAAAAGACTTTTTATTTACAGTTTTTGGAGAGTGGGCATTGTTGTAAGCTGTTGAATTAATGAAGTATACGGTCGATCCGATACCAAATATTGCTCGTTTTACTAATGAGGAGAGGTAGCTTTCTAGCTACTCGCTGATTTAACCACAACAACAACCTTGATTACACCCTTTAAATCCTAGAACTAACGAGCAGCATCAGATTAGGCGACTAAATCCGCTGAACCAGTAGTGTGCACATTTCGATCAAGTCCAGGATTGGTGGGAATGTCTTTGATCCAAATTCCTAAAATTCGGAAAGTCATAATAGGACAATGACAGAAAGGCGGTCAACTGAGGCCTCATTGGTTCTGGGTCTCGCCTGTCTCAGCCAACCAGCAAGCAGACTGCTTGCTCGCGCGCTTAAATAGAACATATATGGGCGTAATAAAATGAAAATCAGATGGAGGAGGTAATAATAAAACGATAAGATAAAAGCCGGAAATTAGAATAAGCAAATGAAAATTTAAACCTTTGCCAGATACTGCTTCTCTCACGAATTAATGGAGGTCATTCGCTGTTATGTGATGGTAAATACTCTTACAGCTGCATATACGATTGTTTATTTTATCATTAGCTCAACTTACTTTAAAGTAAAGGGCACAGCATTTGGATTGGCTGAATAGCTTATTCAGGTATAAGCGTTATAAACTAAATAATACAACTTTACGTTTTGGTTAAAGGCACAACCGATTTTGCATAAAAATAACATTCAATGGCATTGAAAGGTACCATTTAAAACCTGTAGATAGATTACTGTTCAAGAGTAATTTATTGGTTACACAAAAAACATGGACTGAACAGCTTTTCTAAGTAGGGAACTTAGGGGAAGTTCAAAAGCTCGACCAATAAATACATAAGTGGAGATTTCATTACGTCAAGGTTATGTATAAGCCAAATGGACGAATGGTTGACCCATATTATAAACACGCTGGTTAGGAACTTGAGGAGATAGCAAAACGTCAAACCTTTGTCAATTTCTACTGGTTCCGTTTTTTACTTGATAGCAAGTTTAAGCAAAAAGTGATTGATGCTAACTGTCCAAAACTGCCCATTATTTATAGATATCGTTAGTCTTGACATTTTTGCTACACATATCCCTTGCGTTGCTGTCCTAAGTCGGAATTTATAGAAAAATATTTTCAGCTATATTACTTTTCTAAAAGTTTAAGGTTCAATATTGCATATACTGTCATTGTATTATGGCTATGTTCTACGTGGTATAATTCAGTTAACGAAACATCTTAGTAAACTCATTTAAGCCATGCTACCATATAAAAGTGTAATACTGATTAAATATAATTTATATCTTTTATTTGGGAAACCTAAATATGGAAAAAACTCAAAGGTATAAAATGTTTGATTTTATTTTATAAAGTTCAACCTTGAAAGCTGAACTAGAAATAGTTCCGCGTAACTTATTTTAGAGTAAGAGCTTCGAATGGATAGCCGTGAGTCGAAAACATGCACTTGGAATAATAAAAACTACAGTTACGTACGGCTTCTAAAATAAAGTCTAGCATTTTAGGACATTTCGTCTATTGATCTTAGAATACTTTCGGAAAACAATAAATGTAAAGAAGAACTAAAAGTTTTGGAAATAAAGGAAATAAATTGCAAAGATGATAAAGTAGGTTCACTTTTTGCATTTTCTTTATTTTCAGGTTTATATTGTATTTGTCAGTGGAGAAACCGTTGAAGTAGATAAAAGTTCACTGAAATACCTTTTGAATCAATTATGCAAAGTCTGGCAATATTTCCCGTCCTTTAATTTTTGGTAACCTAAAATGCAACTCTAATTATGTCAGCACTGAGATTACTGATTTAGATAATTCAGAAAATGAGACATCATGCAGTGTCGAATTGACTAAAGATCAATGCATCGAACAAAGCTTCTCTTACCTGAATATGTATTTGAAACGCTTCGGCAAAGCCAAAGAAAAGGATTATTTTAGTCAAATATTTAAAGAAAAGCTTTTGCATTACTCTGATATTAATGAAAAAGTACAGAGCTACGCGATTTCTCCTTTGCTGTCTTACCCACACTTCACTGTTCTGGACTTATCAAATACGAAACTTGTGAGTTTCATGGATTACTGTATTTTTATGCCAAATACTCAAATTTATTTTCGTTAATTTAGGATAAAGAATTTTTACATCTTTGTGGAATAGGACTTAAAACCGACAGTGCTTTACGAGCTCTTATTTTAAGAGATACAAAATGTGATGGGTATGTGCGTTATATTATAAAATTATGCCTTATCTGAAAATTAATTTACTTTATTCTACTTGACTTTATAATGAAGAGATTACATAGGTCCTTTGCTGAGATGTTTGCCAATGTCTTCTAAGGTCCGAAGAATTGATTTGCAGCTTCAGAGGGAATCCAGTGGTACAGATGTTTACAAAATCATTGGAGGTTTAAATCCATGTTTATTCGAACAACTGATTGAACTACGCCTCAGTGGAAAATGTGGAGAAGATAGTCTATTCTTAAATTTCTTCGTTCAAAGAAACTCAGAATTACGCTTTCTAACCTTGGCTCGAGTTCACCCACAAGTAAAATCTTATCTTTCTTGCTTCATTCATTTCTCCTCAAGGCACTAGATAAAATTCTTCAAGGCACACCAAAACTCCGCTCTCTTACGTTAGAGGATCCTAGTTTGGAAATTGCTGCCGTAAGTGATATGCGGCCATAGTCGTTGACCTTGTCGAAATTGTATCGATGTTTTTTGTATGATTTTTAGATATCCAAAAGCATATTGAACGCAAAATTAACAAATTTGGAAGTTTTGGTTTCTCCTGAAAGCAAGATGGATGAGGTGGATGACGATGTTGTTGAAAAATGCTTTGCCTCCTTGAATCGTTTGCGAGTCTTGAATCTGTCTGGCTCTTCTGGGAAGCATGGAGAAAGGATTTTGATGGTAATCTCTATCACTAAGCAATTTGGCATCGCGGTTGCTGTTATTTGTATGATATCGAATTTTGCAAGCTCAAAAACCAAGATAATTTTCTTAGAAATATTAAGAAACCTTTTTGATACATATTTACTATTTTCACGTTTTTTTTCAAGATTGTATGTTCTGATCTTGGTATTTTTCAACGTTTAATACGACAATAGATTGAGAACTATTTGACTTAAGATCACTTAAATGTTGTGAAAGTTTTACAATGTGAGGTGTAGCTTTAATTAACACATAAACGCCCCTATCCTTCACTTGAACGTGATGCGGAAAGTATTCTGTTCTCCTCCGCATTGTATTTCTCGAATTTTCATATTGGAATATTAAATTTGCCTTTATTATTTTCAGTCGATTTTGAATGGTCTCGGTTCTGTTGAAGAACACGTTTACGGACAACTTGAATTAACTGTTACTTACTTTGGTTTGAAAGAAAAGCCCAATACAGTAGACTACTTAACTTCTCTCGCAATCACAATTAAAGGTACGTTTCTTTGTTATCATTATTCCAAAGAAATTTACCACTTTAAATCATGACAATCAAATAGAAGTATTTAGTGGTGCCTGGCTTTAGTAGAATTCTGGATGTATCTGTTAATTCACTTTCTCAGGAGTGATATCCATGGCATGCCATCTAACTATTCCAGAACGATTTTCATGATCTGATACCTAGTGAGTGCATATTTGCAATACTCAGGCCTTGTTGATCAATTTGCGTAATTGAATTAGTGATGATCCTGCTTTCATAAATTTTTAGGTTATTAATGCAGCCACGTGCACGCTGATATAACTAGTTTAGCTATTTTCATATAACAGTGCTTAATAGAGCTTGTTGTTTCTCATTTCTTTTCAAAGTTTTTCTGTATTTATCGGGGAAATTTTAAAATGTGAGGTGGTATTTGTGAATAACTGACTTTGAGATTGTTTTCCCCTATGCTAAAATTGATCAGTCTTTGACCAATAGCAGACTAATGTGAACTGTTCTGTGAAATATTGGCTTAGAAATGCAATTATGAACTCAAACACACACGGAATTTTCATCCCATCACCTTCAGAATTTCGTCTTCGAGAAACATTTATTCCTAAAGCCTACGTCTCTTGAAGCTTGTTCTTGCGTTCAACTTGCACACTTGATATGCAATTTTGAGCAGATAAACTATGAGGAAATCGGTGCTCTTTTGAGCTTTCTATTTTGCAATTTTCTATTTTTTGAGCACTTTGAGATAAAGAAAGAACACCTGACGCATTTCTCCCAATCGAAGGATTTGTCGTAGCTACTGATATTAAAATGATAAAATGAATTAAATAACTTTGACTTTATATAGAGCTATGATCTTAAATTCCATAAAATCGGCTCTCTTTTACCTGTATAGGTTCACTTACAAAATAAAAAATGATTAATTTCAAATAATCTTTTGATGTGTTGCTTTCATGAATTTTCCTTTTGTATTTTTAGAAACAGGTGATAAGAATGGTACCCTCAAAAAATTTTTGTCTAGTTTTCCGAATCTTGAGTCTCTTACTGTTGGCGGCGAGCCTAAGTCAACGTAATTTTTTTATCACTTTAAAAGTATTATTAGCTAACAAAGTAACCAATCTTATTCAAAAGGGATTAAGGTTCCTAACCAATCGTCTTGCCTATATTTCTACCAATAAAATATAAGTACAGTGTGTCCAAACGAAATTTAAACATTTAATTTTCTATTTAGTGGGAAAACTTTGAGTCAACTAGCAGATGCCCTAACTTCTAAGGAATGTGTGAGTTTGTATTTAACTTTGCGATGGGTTCGGAAATTAAGATGTTCCAACAATTTGCTTCAATTTTCAGTCCGTAAGCAACCTGATATTGCGAAGAATCTGTAATGAGAACGATCTCAGCGAATTTCTAGGAAAGTTGGTTGAAAAAGACAAGAAGCTGAAATTCCTTGATATTCGCGCCTTTCTCCTGAGTGATGACCAAACAAAATACCTTCCGGAATTGATTAAGGCCGCAGATCCAAATGAACCTTTCAGCCTTTTCTTCAAGTACTTCAGTCTGAGAAAACATGCAGGCTACGTAAGTTTTTGTATTTCCGACTGGGAAACTTAGTTATTAGCTTACATTCAGAATTACCAACCAGTGTTGCTGTGTCATGTGGTCACGATTTAGATTTCCATTGGTCACACGTTCAGTAATCAGAATTGCCAGCTGAGCTTGTCAAGCCCGTCTAGTAACGGGGGTGGTAGAATGCTAGTTAGTCATCAATAAGTCTCTTTGATGAGAGTGTCGAAGATGTGCCTGCAGCGTTATGGTTAGCCAACCAGATTGATCAATTCTGATCAACTAGTGGGTGTTTGAGTCTTGCATCCCAGAGGTACTTTTAAAACGTACGAAAGTAAGAAAGTTACTGGTCAATAGAATGCTACCACAACCACGGTGAGCTGCAAGTTTGGACTGCGTGATCATCTTATTTGCTGTTCGAAAACTAGGATTGCATAATGCTTCTCAGAAAAGTGGGTCGGATGGATGAGTGGGGTTCGGTTATGTGTTAGCAAATTATTAACCGCCTTCCTCTTCCTCATATAACCAGACTGGCCAAGTTGATGCTATGGTGAGACGCAAATGGCCATCTTTGAAGGTCTGTCTCCCGTATCAACTCTACGTTGCAAAGAATGGCCGGGCGATAGTTCATGTAAGTGCAATTTTTGCTCTTTTTAATCCTATAATTTGAATTATTATATTTTTATTTTATATCAGATGGAGTTCACAAAGGTTCAACTTGAGGACTCAGAGAAATCTGTTCGTTCGGAAGTCCCAAGTTCACGAAGACTATTGGAACTTGAGAAGTTTGAAGGATCAGTTCTAAACCCCTCTAAAGAATTCTCCGAATTGAGTTCGGTGAGAAATCAGTCTGATGTACATATTGTCTTCCTTAACTTATGTGATTTTCGCTTTTGATCATCTTGTAGAAGCTCACAAACATGGCCATGAAGACTCATAGAAAAATGCCGAAAAGTAATTTGGAACAACTTGAACTCCTCTATCCAAAAGTGCTTCAAGCGAAAATTAGCCTAGAAGAGTATCGAAGGTTGTCTTCGTTACAAACCAATTTGCTTGAAACAGTTCTCGATCCAGAACAATGCGACCAAAGCTTTTCCAAAGTACTCGATGACATTAAAAGCGCTATTGAGGTATTTTACGATAGATTCTGAGGCAGCTTTGATAATATTGGTTTAAACTTTCCCCATAAAGTTTCCATTCTCGTGAATTTGATTCTAGAGATTAATTTTTATAAGGTATTGCTAGAATTATACTACTGGTCTGTGTGAATATGGAAGATGGACAACAAATTACTAACTGGTACACAGGTGAGGGGGAAGAGATCATCTTCCGACACTAGTTATCATCTATTTTTGGTTACACTCTTCACCTGCAGCCTTCTGTCCTGACCAATGCCCTCAACGATTGCCTTAAAACTATATGAGTGGAAAGGCCAGTGAAATAATTGATGATGATGCAACTGCTTCACTTTGTTTCTTCAAGGTCACGCACCTGACACTTTCACTTGGACATTCTCCGTGTTTTTCACACTCATCACTTTCACTTTAGAAGAACTACATGCACAGAGCTTGAATACGCCATTTCTTTCAATACGATTCAGTACCCATAAAAGAGTGGTATATACTGCGTGGAACTTCAAAAGTATTTGGCTTATGAAATTAACACTCATATGTCAATTTCCTTCTGTGTAAACTACTAATACTCTGTGTTGACAACAATCCTCCTTGAAAATTATTCTCGGTGAAATGTGAATTCCTAAATAGGATCGAATTCTTAAGCACTTACCGTATTCCTTACTAAAACGTGTTTTAGAGTTCAGTGGAATCGATGTACACAGTCTGCTCTCAGCAAATGAAAGAAGTTACTTACAACGAGAGCCCTCGAACATTCACGCCGCTTCTTAGCTTCCAATTCAATTCAAATGTTGAAACCCAGAAAATCATAGCCAACTTTGTACACCAAGAACTTGGGGACTCCCTTCGCACAATGGTGATGTCTACCACTTCATGATTTGAGTACTGATGCCTTTATATATCAGTATCTGACTCGTGAGTGTTATTTTATAGATCATGGATTTGCGGGTCAAAGTTGCTGAGAAAATGCTTACTTTCATGATGGAATCGTTGGAAAAAGAGTTTGCGAATTGCCTCGAAGGTTTCCCTTCGAAAACGGCTCTTGAACCCTTGCAACCTGCTCGTGAGGATGGTGAATATGTAACTGCTCATATTTTTAGTTTCAAGTATAACACATTTTTGTTTAAAATATATTCGAGGAAGAGGATTAATGTAACGTGTAGAAATTTTTGTGAATTTTGTACTATTTTACTTTTTAAATAATTAGTCACTGATAGTATTAATTGAATCTGTCTGCATTTTCTTCAAGAGTAAGATTTGTTAAGCATCAATGTTTCGAATTACTGACGCTTTAAATAAGCTATTCGAGTTTGAAAGAGGTTCATACTAGCGGAGATCGGTATTCACAAGTGATGTCAATTTCCAAACGTGGAAAGTTCACTCTGTTTTCTGATTGAGTGGTCACAGTGATAGTGTTAGAAACCCACCCAAATACTCTCTTGGTCACAATTGCTCTGATCCAAAAGGTTAATCAGCTCGATGTTCATGTTATTAATTGCTGTTTGCTTTGCGTGAAATTTGAAAGTAATGAAAATTAATTAATTCAATTTGGTTTAGTGTTTTTGGCACTGCTTTAATCTATTTAAGCTCAAAATAGCGTAGTTCACAAATTGAAGCCAAAATTATCGTATTTCTTCTAAGATTTGAAGTAGTGTTTAAGTGTTTAATGTTCCTTCTTTCTGTGGAGCCTGAAGTCAACTAAAGGGCTAACGATAACTGTCAAAATGCCCGCCATTTGAAATAAATAAATCACCACATTTTATCTCAATGAGAGTCTCATTTGTTTTTTTTCGAACATGTGCTATTTTTAACTGTCATTTGTGGTTTTATTTTCTCACTTATAAATTGATAGTACTTCAAAATTAAATTTTGTCATGTTGCCTTTTATGTATTTAAATTAGCAAAGGTGTGCTAATTACGATCATATTTTTTCCAATTTTAGCTTACTGGTAAGAATCACACTTTTGCGTTGCTAATTAATCATTTTATTAATTCAATAACAAATGTCTCTGCTATCTTATCCTTCGTTAATCACACGTATTCACTTTTCAGTGGCTTTGACACGCCTAAAAAGAGATGAACATTAACTTGACTACAAGTCCCAGTGGTGGCTTTAGTGGCCTTGAAGGTGTGGGGTCTTCATTTAAAGAATGCACCTAATCTCAAAGCCCACTTTTGATTCATAGATTATATATAAATTCCTATTTGAAAATAACCCCAGGCGATGAGGTGGAAATGAGCGGCTCAGTAGTTCAATTTCTGAGGTCGCTAGGTCGTCGTTACTCACTATCGCATTTCAATTTAATGGACATCTTCATTTCAGTCGCGAAAGCGGCAAAATAAAGTGTTTGGTAGCAAGGGATGAAAAGAAGTGACGTATTGAATAGGCAGCAGGATATGAAGATTGTCATGACGCTGTGGGGAGTAGGAAGTCACTGAAGATAGGCGTGCTTTTGGAATTAATTATTTTTAAAGGATTGGGCTATGAATCCGATTTCAGCGGAGTTTAGGCAGTCACTGCACACAGGCAAACGCATGAGGACATCTCAAAGTCCACAATGATATGGGGGCCAGAAGTGGGAAATGATATGCAGACGGGTATTTCAGGGCAGGTCAATTAGTTAAAGGCATGACGACTTTTGTTCTACTATAATTCCGGATGCAATCACGTACGTTCTCACGAAGAATTCAATCCACTATCGAATCCCCATTCTCTATCTCTTTATTTTTGGGGGAGGTTGGTAATCGTTTGACCTTGAACATGAACAGGAAGATGGAGGGGGGGGGGAGGATAATTGCGGGGCTTCTAAGCGATGGAGACATTGAAATAGTTGAATTTTGGGATGTGGATAATGGGTGAGTTGCGCCAATATAACCATTCACTTTTCATCTATACGTAAATCCACCGAGGGATTTTCTAATACCCACCTTAATCTTACTGCTTTTAACATCATTTGTGGCATGTTATCTCAATTTGAAATTATTTTTTTTTTAACTTCATTAACTAATTAAACCTAAGCTATGTTAATGATGATATCATTGTAAATAATAGCTTTTTTTCTAACTTTTCTTAAAGTTACACCACTGAATTTGGCAAGTAAGTCGATCAATTTTAATCAATGAATTAAATTGGAATCGAAATCCAAATTTATTTTATCCATTTTTAGAGCCCACTTCTGCAACTTCTCCGTCATTGGCGCTGCCTCTAAACCAATCATTGGAAGGTATTTCTCATTATAGGCCTTCTTCTATAATGTCTGTCTCCTGGCAGTACCTTGCCTCTAACTTCGTCGGTATCTCATGCAAGAAACCTGTCTTTCGTCTAAGGCTAATTTAGAATCTGTTGAGAAGAATGCCGTGGGGGACGGGGTGAGGGGGGGGGGGCTGGGCTGGGCTGAATTGACCTTCTATTTCACAGATCTCAATAGAAGGAAAATTCCTCTAATTTTTCATCCGGATGCGACAAAAATATTCCTTCGTGGTTATGCATTTACTTCCACAGTACTATTACTACCTTAGGCAGCTCAAAATATTTACAAAATATTTTATTTTGATAAAAAGGAATCCATACATCTGAAACATTTAGTTATTTTTATTTATATCAAATGGCAGGCTTCTTGATGGTCATCATTAGCCCTTTAGTTGACTTCAGACTTCACAGAGGGGAATGAACATCAAATTGAAAAAAGTCGAGAGAGGGGGGGGGGTAGAGAAGAGTGTTTCAAAGATGTAAGAGACAAACACGAAGGTGAAAAAAAAGGTGAGGTGAGTACTGTGAAATATTCGAATATGGGATAGAGGGAGGTGATGGCAGTTTGAAGTGAGAAGTCAACTGCCAGTTAATAGACTTGTTTGCCGTATGAATATACGTTGCCCAAGGTGCACCACGTGGAGGTAAGTCTATCGCACACCCCACATCTGAAACATTTAAATAGGTCAATAAGGAATGAGGTCGGAAGATGATTATCAATTCATCAGGATTTCAGGTATCAGTAGTTCACTTTTGTTTGAGTCATGTTGTGCTTATTCTCAATTTCTTTCACAGGGGATAAAATTTTAGTGTTAATATTATTAATTCATATCTTTCATGATTTGATCCCTGGTTTTCTGATATTACTTTATGCCAATGCCATTCAGATTTCATTGGCCAGTTGATTTAATCATATGATTGGTGGCGGTATCATCTTGATTTATTATTCAGGTAGATAAAATTGAATATTTTACTCTTAATGTAACAGTTCTATATTAATTTTTTCCAGAAAAACCCAGACCTGAGACTATAGTTGATGAGAGACTGGGTAGACCAGCGCTACGACAAAGGCGGCCACAACGCACTCAAACGACGGAGAAGGAGAACCTCAACAAACCGGTTGACTCACCCTATCTCACTGGTAAGCCAGCTGCGTTGCAACAAGTGGAGATCACCTACGAGGCCCTGAAGTGAGTCAATAAAACTCTACTTTAAGATCTGATTACCAGATTTCAAATCACAAAGTTTTAAAGTTCTAAATTTGAAAATGTCCTATCGTTAGAGATTATTTGTTCAACGGATTCAGATAAGGGGTTCCTCTTTGGACTTATACATGCCGTTTTTATCATTACTTCTATTTAGGTTTGCTTATGAATGTAGTCGATACAAATTGATGCCATATCTGATTATTTTTTAGTAGGTCTTTATGAAAGCGACACTGGTTTAACGTCGATAAATTTATTAAAAAATGCTCCAATTTTCTGAAGTAGTAATAATTGTGTTCATTTGTTCATTGAAGAAGGTTTTCTACAAAAGAGCGTTTGAATGTCAGCATTCGTTCAAGTAAGTCAGATAACCAAAGTGATAGGTTTCAAATGAACCTTACACTCTCAAACGCCTTAATTCAAGGCGATTCTGATTTATTTTTGATCAAAGGCACTTATAAGTAAGAGTATCAAAGGCACGTCATTGGAATATGTTGTTAGCAGGTTGTGTCACCTTTTCCAAGTATTAAAATTAGAACTATTTTTAGGTAGAATTTTGCATCTTTCTTTGTGGTAATGCTACGAGAGGTTTTTTCAAGTGAATTATAGGTTCATAATTCTGTAATTAAAATCAATTTTTGCGGATTAAATGAAGAGTTGAAATGTCAGTACATTGTGCCGTGTGTTTAGATTTGCACTGTAGAGTTGAAATTGTAAACTATTTCATATAGAGTGCCGTTTCTCCTAACAGAAGTAACTAAGTGTTAATTTTCTTGACGGTATACGATTTAAGTAAGTCTTTGTTAAGGAATATGACTTCGGGGAGCGTAGTTCTTTCCATAGCGGTTTTATTTCTTCTGGAAACTCATAGGTGTGAAATTTCAACCATTTAATGCAATTTCGAGCGTTAAATTGCATTCATTTTGAAATTGGGATCTGTAGCTTAATGTTAAATCCTCTTCACAATTTCAGTTCATGATATATTTTTGTGAATTACAACTTATTGGGTAGATAAACGAGACGCATTCAGTGAAAGGGCTATGCTCAATGAGCTTATTATGTGGCCAGGGAACAAGAACTTGAATGCCAGCATGACATTCCTCAGTTATACTGTTTGCACTCGATCTTATTCCTATTATTATTACTAATTGTAATGCTGTGTAGGGTTTCTCCACTATTCACAGTGTAAACAACATTTTGCTCGTCTATTTGGCTTAAAGCTAGCCTTTCAATAACTATTTCAAGGAAACCCTGTTTTTTCCTCAATTTTTATTTGTTTTCTTTACTGCATTTAGGAATATAATGAATTCTTTCCTTTAAGCATTGATGCATTTGCTTTCTTTTAGGAGTCAGCTTGCTAAACCCAACGACGCACCTGCCCCTAAAACTATGTTTCAAATAATGCCAAATGAAGTAACTGCTGAAATTTCAAAAATCAAGGAACTTAAGAAAGTGGACTATTCATCTACTCGTAGGTTTTCATTTTGTCTAAATTCTATGAAATAGCATGTGTTATGGTTAGCTGCGTAAAATTTGTGAAAGTATCATCAGTCGCAAATTTGATCGAATTATACATTACTCCAACAGGAACATAAAGTGTAAAAATACCTTTCAAGGTCATTTACTATTTCTCACACGAGACGATTGTTTTATCTTCGTTTGGTGTGGTAAAAATTAGATCAGTATGAGCTTGTGATGGCTCATAAATGTCGGGTAAAAGTATCTGGATTAAAAATTGAGTTTAGTCTCATATTGTTGTTGCACAAGCTCACATCATGCAGTTGAAATCCGATGCAATTGTTTGAATTAATACCTACGAGTTGTAAGAATGTCGCTATGGTCATGTCTCATACCTGTAATTAGTATCTAGTATGCGGGTGCATCTGGTCTCAACACAATCTGCCTACTTCTCCTCCTTATCTCAAGACCATGTCATATTACAACTTTCGTACAGTTTTGTCTTTGCGGAATGTTGTTGTAGGCGTTGAAAATGCTACTTATATTATCTAAATAACACTGTTTTTAATCTATAACTGCAGCTAACGCCAACATTTCAAAGAACTCTGAACCCGTAGAGCAAGTGCGGATGAGGATTAAAGAAAAAGATAAACCGCCTTCACTAGTAGAGGAGCTAAGTAAGCTAATTTTAATTTGGATCTTTTACTCAATGATAATCAGACTAAACATGCTGGCTGTGTTTTCTCCACAGGGTCTCAATTCGAGCAAAGCGAAAAGAAAGGAAATGACCTTAACCACTAACATTGATTTAAATCTTTTATCGAAACTATTTACTCTAACATAAACTCTGTTTTTTTTCATTCACAAAGTAAATCCCTCAAAATAACTAAGGTATCTATTTACAAAATATGTACAAAAAAATATACAATTAAGCGGGTGTAAGTTCGAATTTGTAGACGACTATCCGACCATAGAAATCGGTTGATTTCTTAAAAACTATAGCTGCATTAGAAAAGGAACCTTCTTGGGAGAATTCAAATGATTGAAGAGAGTTAGAATTTGCAGGGTAAAAAGGAATAACAATTTTATCATCTTTAGGGTCATTCCAAAGTTGAAGAGAAGCCTCCTCGGCCACGAAACCACCTTGAAATTGAAGATTAAGGGAAACGATCTTGATTGGATTAGAGAAACTAAGGCGGATCCACTGGTAGGCTCCAGAATCGGATTGCCAGCAGGTATCTGGCTTTCCGTCGAAAAGAAACTGCTTTCCGTAGAGCTGGGTATTTTTGTTCAGTACCGAGCTAACAGTCACCCGGGAAATATAGTCTGGAACAGTCATTCTGATAAAAACCTAAAAGATACATGAGTTATCAAAAAGTTAATGCATTAGTGGCGAACTCGTAATCGCATAATTTTGTACATATCCTCAATCACAAAAACAATTACCAATAAAGCGTTCATTATTTTGCAATGAAAAAATGAACAATTAAAAAAAGGACGAGAAAACAAAAAAAGACAAACATACCCACCGACAGGCCACCAAAGTGGTTAGATTCTTCACATATCGACCTTGAGCAGGCAAATATATTATGCAACAAAATCTACACTGAATCATACGCATCTTCATTCAAACAATTTAGATTATATTAAAAACTAATACCTAAATACTGTTAATATTCTTTACCGTTAAGCACTTAAGGGTATATAAATTTAAGCTCAATTTAGCTTATATGCCTTTACCATTTTCAAAATAACTTACATTTGCGACGGCGCGTGAAGGCGATTTTATATTGAATTGAGATAAGTGCTAATGCAGTCAGTTTCAAACAATTTCCTTTTGAGGTAATAATTGATATTCTTCAAGCTTATTTTATGATAATTAACATAACAAGTCAAAGATACATATTTTCGTGTTTGATGGATCTAATGTATAATCAAATATACGTTCATTTTTTTGCTCCAACTTCATTCGCTTAAAAAGCTATCGTTAATCCTACGACGATATACTTTTTATTTAATGAAGCAAATCTCTATTATTTGATTACTTTTCATTTTGTGTAGTTTATTTTCGCGAACATAATACACAGGATTTGCTAGGAATATTTAGACGCACCTAGCAACCAAACTAGCAGCCAATCAGACACGCAAATTTTGTAGAGGGTTGGGTTTTAAGACATTAATGACGTACTTTATAAAGTTTTACTATTGACAGAAATTTTTAATTTAGTCGACTTTACACTGAACACTTTTTTTAAATAATTTGGAATGATGAGTCTGATAAAACTTATGCAAAAAGATGAGAAAATAAGAAAGTAAAATTAAAATCTAATCGCTTGGAAGATTGGTTGGAAATATATCGTATTTTCTAAGTCTCTGAGAGCTTGTATTTTGACCTTATCGCAAAAAGGCTAGTTGACTAGATTAGTTCAGTTAACCCATTAAATCATTATTCATCATATTTGGGACAGCATATGAGCTCAGAAATACAGCCTAGAGTGGCTACTAGGCGTATTTTAGGGACGTTTGGTGGTGTTTTCACCCTTGTTACTCTATCACAATTTAGTAGTGTTATATTTCTTCGTCTAGGTAATTTTCGATTTTACATTAATTTTTAGGATTTCTTGTCGGACAAGCTGGTCTTTTAGTCACTATTCTACAGTTTCTTCTTGCCTATTTCATTCTTCTACTGACTATATTTTCTGTTTGCGCTATTAGTACTAATGGGGCTGTAGAGGGAGGCGGTGTATACTGTATATTTTTTGCATAAAGTTATTACCAACTCTAATTTTACTTAGTTATGCTTAGTCGTGTCCTGGGCCCTGACTTCGGCGGTGCTGTTGGAGTAGTATTTTACTTTTCTCAGGTCTTTTGCGCCGCTCTTTACATAACAGCATTTGTTGAAGCAATATGTTCTAACTTCGGTCCCGGAGGTACTTCCTATTGATAGTCTCTCTAATTTCCTTATTGTATTAGGTATTATTATAAGTGGTGGTCTACCAGTTTCTTTTTGGTGGAAATATCTCTATGCTTCCTGTGTCAATGTGTTCTGCTTACTCGTCCTGCTAATTGGGAGTCGAATGTTTATGAGAACCAGCATTTTCATGCTGATTGTGGGCTTTATTATTTCCCTTATTCACTTTTATGTCTCTAGCTGGTCTTTGCTGTTATTTGTTTCGTTTCATCAAGTTTCTTTCGACTGGCTTTGGAAGTTGCCGTTCCAAGAGTTAACGGCCTCGTATACAATCAGAGCGATCCTAATCAAACTACAGTAATGGTTCAGTTCACTGGATTTAACCTAACCACACTTAAAGAGAACTTATTTTGCAAGTTTTTTAATTCATTTTTTAATCTAATTATTCTATTCTATGTAGCTAATTACACAGTAGATTATGTAAGCCGTGGACAAATGAATTTCGTCATTGTCTTTGCGGTTCTCTTTTCCGGTGTTACAGGTATCATGAATGGTGCCAATATGTCAGGTATTTACGATGCATTACCTTATAACTTTATCATATACATATATATATATATCGAATTTTCGTTAATTAAAAATTTGATGTTATTTGCAGGAGAACTGAAGAAGCCTTCAGTATCAATTCCTAGGGGAACTCTTGCGGCTGTAGGAACAACTCTGTGCGTCTACATTGTTATGTCTGTTTTATCGGCGGCTTCTTGTAGCAGGTTTGTTCAATCTTAATTGATTTATTCTTTTGAGAAATTCTACTTTTGATCTTTATTAATTTGTTGATTCAGTGGTATTCATTAAAAGTGTGGTCGTTCAAGTTAGTCTGGTGGTGATTCGTGTCACCCTATTGTCCTTCTTCCACCTGGGCTGAATTTTATTAGTGTTGGGGACTTTTTAATAAATAAATTAGTTTAGTTAACTGCATCACCTTTCTGTTTTCCCAGACTTAGTTAAAAGGCCAAAGGTGAAGGTTTATTACGAGTTAAGATCCTGCATACATTGATTGAAACATTGAAGCATTTTATAGTTCATTGTGGACAGTCAGACATGTTCTGTTCCACAGTGCTCCCCTTACCTTTTTTCTACCTTTGTCCCTCGGTCCCCTTTAAATCTATTAATCACTCTTCTGTTCCCCCTCACAACATTTTTGTGACTTTGATGTTCCTCCCCTCTATGAAGCCCGAAGTCAACTAAAGGACTATCATAAAGCCTTCCATTTGAAATAGATAAATAAATAAAACCTTTGCACCTAGTTGTAAGTAGTGGGTCGAAATCTACCTCTTGAGGATTCCCTTTCATTAAACCTTTAACACCCTTAGGACCGTGCAGTCCTCTTTCAAAATAAGCTCCATTGGTACTGGACTCAGTAGAAGGTGCTATTACCGTTTGAAACACGTTCAACACGTGTCTATAGCCTTCGCCTGACTCACTCTTCTGTTCCACCTCACAATTGTTTGTGACTGCCTGTTACGCCCCTCTGTGAAGCCCGAAGTCAACTAGAGGGCTAGTGATAACTATCATAAAGCCTGTCATTTGATATAAATAAATATAGTAACCTTCGCATATAATATCCTTCCAATCTGTAGGCAGCTGCTGGTTGAGAACTATGCTTACATGCAGAGTATCTCCTTTTGGCCTCCGCTGGCAACTGTGGGAGTTCTGGCAGCGACCTTATCCGCATCCCTCGGCAATCTCATTGGAGGCTCGCGTGTTCTTGAGGCTTTAGCTGTGGATGAAATTTTCGGTTAGTTTTGCTCTTTCCCCGATTACTTGTTTTCATGCATCGCCTGTTTGGGTCACATGTTCGTTGTAGTACAAGCATTTAGGGTATCAATGGTAAATGCTGCTTAGAACAGTTTATTTTAACTATGATAAAGCCAAATAAATATCCTTACTTCTACGCCTCGATTCTCTTCGGTTATATTCTCTGGTTATATTCAGGATATTCCCTGAAGTTGGAATATTTCTTGTGCTTTTTAAGGTGGCTTTAAGTCAACTCTTTCAGAAAAATGTAGGCTTAAGATTTAATTTTTTAATGCATCTTGAATGAAACTACTACTTATTGTCTCCTCGTCTCATTTCTTTAAGCTTGGTCCATCTAATTTTGTTTGTTTTTTTACCGTGGCATGTATTACATTTCACTTGTCTGAGTATTTCACCTCCGGGACAGAAAAGAAGTATTTAACCTATTAGAGCTTGGAATAAAATAGGGATGGTTTCCAATTTATTCATATTGTTCCTTTTAACCCTTGGAAAATTGTTATACATTCCACTTTCGACAGTAATCATTGAGCCCTAGGCGATAAAAGGGGAGTCAACACAGTCTTCAATGGACACAGAACCTCCTTTGGCCTAACCACTTTTACTTCACCAGGCTGAATTACATTTACGCGTTAACGTTAGAGTCCAATATAGGTATGTTGTTGGTTAGGCTCAATTAGGGGGATGACATCTATCATCAAAAAGAGATTCCTTTTGAAGTGACCGGGAGTGGAGTTGAGGGGGGGGGGGTCACTAAAGCCATTCATTTCCCCTCTTTCTTAATATCGCTTTTTACTAAATTGTACTAATTTCATCGAATCGCAATTAATTCAGCCTTAAAATTATGCAAGAAGTGATGGTATTCATGGCTTGTTAATGAGTTGAAACATACCTTCTATGAGGTGAAATTGCATTATAGAGTCGGCTTGACAACTTCCATTATAATTGCTCTGAATCTGGGAGCCTAGCCTGAGAAACTGTCACTCATGTGAGGGGGGTCTGCTATAGCAGGTATGACTCAATAAAAATTGTAGGTAGTGATGTGTGTTCACCTATGTTGGCAAAATTGTAGTACGAAATATTGGCTGATAAGATTAAGATGTTCATGCAATTGTTTACATGATGCAGTGTAATACAGTAAGGGGTACAGTTTTAAGATATTTACAAAATATCACCATGCGATACTTAATCGCAAAACGGTCACTCTCGGTTTCGTTTGCCTTTATTGACGCTGTGTAAAATCACCCTTGAACGCCATTTAACTCATTCTCTGCAAATTACATTGTTTGGCCTTGATGTATGACAGGCGTATTTTTTTGACGTCATTCAAACCTCACAACTATCCTGTCTCTTTGTGTGTTTTAGAACTTCGCTTGAATGCCTCTTATACAAAAAATTATCTCATTACGATTTTGTCAATGTGCCCTGTTGTTACGTTTCCTACTCTATCAGCTGAGTGTCTTATTTGGTGTTAGTGCTTAAGCAGTTCAACAAGCCCACAGCGACTTCTTTAATCAGCAACCCC